CAGCTGTCCTGCGTCTGACCTCAAAGTGCACAAGCTTCAAACTTCAGCGTTGGCTGCGATTTTGAATCTGAAATCGCGTTCGGTGTGAACGCACCATAAGTCTCGTCGTTCTGTTCTGCTGTTATTAAAGCTTTTTGATTGGCACGTGTCCTTCTGTGGTTTCCAGGCCGGCACGCCACATTCTTCTTCTTCTGTAAACAAAACAACCAAAGACAATAGAAGCGATTCTGCCCCCAGCAGTTCATGTGTTGCATTGCAGTTACAAATGAACATTCACGTGGGTAAAAAATACGAAGCATCGACATTAAAATGCTGCATCGATGTTGTCGATTRTGTCGACTAATCGTTGCAGCCCTACTTGTGACACACAAAACAGGTTCAACGTCAAGAAGATGGCAGCAGAGCTTGAAGTGTTCAAGTCATTGTGTTTTTTATTTATTTTTTCATATTGTAATATATATCCCAGGGTGAGAAAATAAGGGYAATGTCAGTTTTTTCCAGTATCATGCAGCCCTAGTTAGCAGTCCTTGAAGGCATGCTTATCGCCCACATCATGGAAGATATAAACATATTTTTGGCCACTTCATCTGTCAATTTATTCAGGTTGGAGATCTGTTATGTACCTCCTGGAGCCAATCTCAGAAAATCAGATAACTGATTTTGTCTGACAGATGGACTCAGTAAGATCTTCATCTTGTCACCGTCTGCCTCAGATCTGCCAGAAGTGCAACATTTTGTCACCATGTTGGCTCAGCAGGGTTCCTCTCAGCCACGAGTCCAGATTTGACGCGTTTAAATAACTTGTTAACTGTGTTACTGTTCAGAATGAAATGTTTTATAAAACTCACACATCTGTAGACAGTTACAGTTTAATAATCTCTTTTTTTTGTTCTCCTTCCTTCAGGTCAGACGGCTACAGAAAAGTTCCTTATCATTAYTACGAGGCAGGAGGACGGGACGAGTGCGCCGAGTACCTCCTCCACGAGAGCGCCCCCTACGGCGGACACCGCTTCATCACCGAGAAGTCCGTTTTCTCCAAGTGGGCCAAAACGCACGCCATCAAGTTCTTCAACCCGCCGTGGCAGCTGTCGTGACCYCGGCAGAACCAAGCGGAGAGTCGGTGAAGCTTTGGTTTCGGCTCAAATTTAACTCCACGTTTGTTGTTGTTYGGTTTTTCAGTCCTGTTTGGTCGCAGGGTCTTCTGCTTCCTGAACTGTTAAGTTTTCTTCTCCTGGAGTTTACAGCTGATGAATGTGGAAACCTCCCAGCTCTGCACTGACTAAAACATCCACCGCTGCTCTGTGAGTCCAGCAGAGGATGGCTTGAACTCGTATTTTTGTTTTTGAAAAGAAAAGAAGATAAAGCATCATCAGCTTGCAGAAATGTGTTTTTGGTTGAGGAGCCGTTCTGGATTGGACATCTCATCAGCCTGTTTGTTGTTTCCTCTGTCTCCTGTCAGGTTGTAATTAATCTTCAACTAGCTTCATTCAGGCCCTCATCTCTGGCCGAGGGACATCTGAAGGCAGACAGTTTCAATTTACTCCTTTTAAAAACTCTTCAGCAACCAAGGTCGTCTGAAACCTGCCATTAAAAAAKAACTAAAAAAGAAGCAGTTTGCAGGCAAACGTCAGGTAAACCCGAGGCGTAAATTCTAAAGATGTCAGCTCTTTTTCTTCTGCTACAATCACGTGAAACTGAATTTTGTGGCTTCGGCTCGATGTCTGGCCTTTTTTTGCCAATTTCTTCTGCAGAAGCCGCACTTTTCACAGTGTGTAGAAACTCCATCTTTATGAAAGGAGGCGAAGTCGTTCCAGAGCCTCCAGAGGAGCAGATTCATGCAGTGAAACCATACGAAGTTTTGTGCCTGTAGTTTTCTGTACAGTTCACCATAACCACTCTAAAGGAATCGGTCTTTTTTTCCTCCGATCCTCATCCTGCTTCATGCCTGTGCGTGTGAACTTTGTCCCATCTGCCTCTAAACCCATCGTCCACGTCTCCTTTTCATTTTTAAATGCATCTCTTACATAACAGAGATGTTAGTTGGGAGAATTGAAGAGGAGTGAAATGAGTCAAATTTCAGCCGTTTGATTTACAGACAGCCCTGATATCCTGCMGAATCTGTGTAAAGTTCATTCTTTGGTTTGTCCGCTTTAAAATATAACAAGAAAAACAAATATTCAGGCGTTTTTTTAAACTAAATTAGAAAAACGACAGTTGCAAAGCTAAAAAAAAAGCTACATTTTCTTAATTTTAATAATTAAAGCAAAGACATGATGTTTGTCTTATTTAGAGGGAGTGGATGCGTCTCAGTGAGAGCCGATGATCTCACCAACATGCTTTAGGGTGTTTTCACACCTGACACATTTGGTCCGCTTTAAATGGACCAGAGTTTGTTTCCCTCGTTGGTCCGGACCTTTTATGCAGGTGTGAATACACTCATGTGAACCCTGGTGGGGRTCAAACAACCGGATCTAGACCCACTTTTGARGTGGTCTCGATCCACTTCCAAAATAACTCTGTAGTTCATGTCTGGTGTGAATACAGACCAGCCTCAGCCCGTACCAACTACAGGAAACATACCTCTTTTTGGACTTCACAGGCCACCGTAGATAAGCAAAATGGTAGCAATTAGCCCTTCGGTGTTGCTAACGCAACTACGCTACAAACAATGAGCCGTTGTGGGTCAGGGAACACAGAGCATCTCGTCTCCTTTAGGTTGAGGCACGCATTTATCAATTTATCAACGCTGTCCCAAAATTAGAAGTATGTCATCGAAAGAGTTGTTAAATGAGCTGTTCTTGAAATTGTTTTAACACGACCTTTATTTCCAGGTCTGTGCTCTGTCCCGCCCCCGTTATTTCTGTCCAATGGGAGCAAAGACTGTCACCTGTGTGGCTTTGTTTATAAATTATAATCCGCTTTTAAAAAAGGCACAATGCGAATGCAAACCACACCAAAGGGAAAAACTACAGTCTGCTTTTGGTTTGGACCAAACAAGTGGACCAAAAGACTTTCCTGGTGTGAAAACACTCTTAATAGTCCAGGTTATGCAGAATAGAGTTTGAGTGCAGACATTACCATTTATCTTACAGCAGTCTTTGGTGACTTCCATCATTTCCGGTATCGCTACAAATTAAAACTGTAGATTTTATTTTAGATTTAGACAGATGAAGCAAAAACCAAACACTGGATTTTTAAATTTACATTTGGGTTATAAAAACGGAAAAACAAAAGAATGAACCAAACAGGGATTCTGCAGCTGCAGCGGTTTGCAGGTCAGCAGTAATTACACGTGACAAAAATAAGAATAAACAAACATTTATATTGTCCTAACACTAACAGTGCACCGATCATCATCTTTTAAAAGCCTGAGCTGCCAATTCCAATTTTGCTTGTGGCCAGTACAATTTTAATTTTTTTCTTAATAACTGACACTGTTGGGTGTCAATGTTCCAATCTTATTTCATTAAAAAACATTACTATACTCTTGAAACACAAACTTGTTTTAACTGGACATTAAGTTGTGCTCACAGCAGAGCAAAAAGAGGACAGTGGCTGATTGTGACTTTGGATAAAATCTCTCAGAATTAAGGAAATCTGCACAGATTTATCGTTGCACCCGTACCTAACATAATGTAGCGATCTGTACAGTTTTTTTTAATAAAACAGCCAAAGCTCAAACTTTAAAAGACAAATGAAGCAAATCTTGACTGATTTAAGTAGGAATGTAGCATTTTGAATTTATGTTTGTCTGTTAGCAAAATACCTCATGAAGCACTTCGCAAATCATTGGAAACTCGTCTATGACTGATAAAATTTAATTTACGGTGGCCGCCGCAGCTGATTAACGTTAGCCGACACAAAAATGTCTCAAACAACCAGCTGTGTTTTGTATTTTCTTTATGAGTCTTAAATAAATACCTTCCAGTTACTGAGAAACAATTAGGAAAGTGTCCTGATGCATCTCAGTAATCCAGGTAAAAAATCAAAAAGAAAAAAATTGTATAGGTCTTCTGGACGGGTTCTTCTTTAATGAAACGTTTCGTCTCTCCTCCAAGAGACTTCTTCAGTTTGAGAGTTTCAGGCAAAATTCAGGCTTTTAAGCCCTGCCTCCATGTGACTGATACTCACATCACATGGCTATCGTTGACAACTAATTAACACCTATTGTTAACAGGGGGTGGAGTGATACTGGCAATAGCAGYGCTGTAGGAGGGGGACAACTGAAAACGGAGGCCTCCACCTCTGTTTAATGGTGGACGGTCTTTCTTCACAAAAATGGCTTCTTTTACTCCTCTCTCAAACCAACGTTCCTCTCTATCAAGAAYGAGAACATCCTCATCTCTGAAAGAGTGACCGCTGGCCTGTAAATGAGTGAAAACTGCAGAGTTCTGGCCATTAGATGTAGCTCGTCTGTGTTGGGACATTCTTTTGAACAGTGGCTGCTTTGTTTCCCCGATGTATAACTGGTCGCAGTCCTCCTGGCACTTAACCGCATATACAACATGTTAACAATAGGTGTTAATTAGGTGTCAAYGATAGCCATGTGATGTGAGGATCAGTCTCATGGAGGCAGGGCTTAAAAGCCTGAATTTTGCCTGAAACTCTCAGACTGAAGAAGTCTCTTGGAGGAGAGACGAAACGTTTCATTAGAGAAGAACCCGTCCAGAAGACCTATACAATTTTTTTCTTTTTGATTAGGAAAGTGTTAAAAATCATTTCCAACCACAGTAAGACGAGACAAAAACTAAACATGTACGTTATTAAGTTTGTCTTCATATATTTTATGTTCCTTCATCTTTCAGCTGTTGGTAAAAACATTAAGCTGCAGCAGAAAACAAACTCACACGATGCGCCTGAAGTTAAACCCCCCCATGGAGTTTTCCTGAGAGCTGAAGTCAGATTCAGCTCCTCACCAGCTGACGTTCTGTCATGTTCAGAAAACACCTGCTTTAAAACAGTCTCAGCTGCTTTTAAATAAATAAACATGAAGGCAAAATAACTTCAGCGGAGTGATTAAAAACACAAACTCCTCCCAGTTTCTGCTCAGATTAATTTGTTAAAAGCAGCAGATTGTTGATAACCTGAGACCTCTCCACCTCGGGTCGAAGTTTTCACCTCAAGTCTTGGAAATCTGTTCAGTTTTTCCTAAATCCGTCCGCGTTTTTCATTCAGGCTTTTACTGTGAAATCCAGTTCAACTAAAGAAATTATTTAGTTGTTAAATTTGCTGCGTTAGTGTTTAAAAGAAGAAGTACAGAGTAGTAGAGTAGTTCTGTAGCTTAAAAAAAGTGCTGAATCAGAGGCGGTCTTCAGCTGAAAGAGTTTTATGTTTTAACAGCTGAAGTCGGTCGTTTTAATTRGACTGAGTGTTTGAAAGGAATCCCTCTGTCTGAGAGTGGTTCAGGAGATATTTTGCTAACAGAGACAAACACAAAACCCTCACACAGACACGGGCAACTACGTGAACAATAATAGATGAGTTTATTTCCTGAATGTGTTCATTTTGTTTGCGTTTTCATGGTTTTAATAAAAGATTTGATTCATTTGGATCGACAGGACTCAGTTTGCCGACTCAGAACCTTCAGTCTGGATTTCTTTCCACCGAACGGGGCGGTGAAAATAAAAACACACTCTGATCTCTGGAAAGATTTTTGTGTGAAAGCTAGCCGACTAACAGCCGAATGTTTAGCTGAAAGCTGCTTCGGTTGATTTTAGCTCAGAATTTGATTATTTTTGACCTGCAAACCAAAAAAAARATCCCACTTTCAGGGTTTATTTTTAATCTGTTGAACATTTTAAACCCAGTTTACCTGTTTTTACACTCCTCCCTGCTCTCAGACMTGCTGAGAGAAAAACCAGGTCTCGGTTCCTCTGGTGCAGCTCAGTGGGTTCGGGGGTCTCCAACAGGACAAATATCTGGAGATCTAAAGTCAGGCGGGAAACAAAAGGAGGGAGAACAGTTTGGTTTCTGCGCACACKTCCTGTCAAATGTTCTCCTCTCAGCCGGGGATTGTTCAGCTCATCTGGCAGCTCTTCATCACTTCAAGTGTCTCCGTGGGGCTTGTTTTATCACTCGCCGTGACTTTAATCTGCATTTGTTTATCAGAATATATGACTTCCATACGAAGCAGAGCACAGTTTGGCACGTTTCGATGTAATAATGGTGGCCTTTTTGTTGTCATGTGTTGGTTTGTGTGTTTGTTCTCAGCTTTAATCAGAAAATTATGAAGTCCAGCTAAAAATAAACTAAACTGTATAAAATGTCCTGAAGCAGTGAGACTTCTATCATTTACTATTTAATACATAATTTATTGTTTTGTAGAAAACGAAAGTTAAAAAGGCCAGTTTAATTTTTTTTACAAAGAAAATTTATTGATGACCTCTAAATATTAAGTGTTTCTGTTTGTTTACCTTTTGGTGCATTTTCAGTTTAAAAAAACAGCCACAAACACAAAAACTCTAAAAGAATTTAAAAAAAAGTTTTTAAATGAAATATACGTGAATATAAGGAAATAAAAATAATTATATTTGTTTCTCTYGTCAGATTTATTATCTTAACTTTATGGTTAATTTTTGTTTTGTTCAGTTTGATTCAGTTGAATATTTATCAAAGTTGAACTTGATGTGTTGAAGTTTGTTTCATCGACTCAAATCTTCACTCGTCTGCAGATTTAGCTCCAAATAACCCTGAATTATCTTTACAACTTTTCTGTGCTCGTACTCCTAAAAGCATCATTTTATTGTTAAAAACACAAACTTGAATTGATTTTAAATGTTTTTTTAATTATTATTTTTGTCATAAAAACCCATCTCTGCATCACAGAGTCTCTTATATCTTTGTGCTCTGTTTATATATTTAAGGTTCAGGTTTTATTTTTCAGGTTTTGATATTTTTCAGAAACACAGTTGTTGAACTTGTCTTACCGTTTCTGTTTAAATCAGCTTCCTGTGTTTTTAATTCTCAGCTCTTATTAAAATGATATAATGTTTGTTTTCAGGACAGCTGTTTGCTTTGAATCTGTTTCATTCAGGTTTTTTTTAAAGCAAACTGAAGGTGACTTGATAAAAAACGAGCTAGAGATGTATTGAAAGTGTGCAGGGTGGCAGCAGAAAGTCAGAAATGACAGTTTTTCTGACTGATGAGTGAAAATCTGACGTTTTCAACAGTTTCAAATCGTTCCTTTCTGTGTAAAGTTTGATTTGTCCCTCCTTCCTGACTCGTTGCCATTCCCTCAAAGTGCTTTCTTACACAAAATCATCCTTTCTTGTGCTCATATCTTTAATTTTCTGCTCTGTAAAGCTATTTTTCTTTGCAGTTTGAGGTCAAGTGTCCTTGTAAAACTGTATTATTTTGTTGTTTAAGCTGCACAGAATGTAGACTGAGCTTATTTTAACACTAAAGGGAAACAA